CCTTGACGTTGGGGACTATATTCCCACCTGTGGCTGGGGAGGATTCTGCTGCCTATATCTTTCCCACAAGGTGGAAGGGGCCAAGAAAAGACTTAGAAAACAGGATGAGGGAAATGCTTGGGCCAGGCATGATGACATGTCTATAATCCTCGAACTGAGGAGAAACTGAGGCTGGAGGAGGATCACTGTGACTTTAAAGCCAGCCTGGCTACATAGTTAGAGCCTGTCACAAGCAAGCAAGCAGACAAAACAAAAACAAAACAAAACAAAAAAAACAACCCTCAATACCAACACCTCTACGCACTCCCCCAGACACTCACGACAAAAGAGAAACATGTAGTATTTCTTCAAAGGCAAAGAAATGTTTAGACTGGGCAGTGAGACGGTTTCAGGATGTCCAGTCTGACCTGGGGTGCAGAAGTGGGAGCCAAAGAATTCTTTCTCAGGTCTGTCCAAGAGCCACAGCTCTTTAGGGAGTACAGAACAAATCAGATTCTTGACCCCAACAGGTGATGAGTGCCCTTTCCTTCCACTGATGGAAGCATGAGTTAGAGGGTCAAAGAGGAAGGTGAAATTGGACTTGTGTGTAGCCTTAGTGTCTCTTCTTGGGCAAAATAGAAATCTTAAGGTAGAGTGTTCCAACCGGAGGCCGTCTTAGCCTGGGTACACAGCCAATTCAATGGCAACAAGACACAGCGATGTATCTGTCCTCCCTGACCCAGGACGACACTTGGAAAGATACAGCATCGTTTGTGTGGGTTCCTTGGCATATGCACCTGTCTGGTGGTGAAAAAGCAGGGAAACCGGAACAGAGATACTCGACCGGGTAGCCGATCCATACAGTTCAAAGCTGGAAGGCAGTGAAGACAGTGAAGGCAGAGGAGCTGCCCTGGATCCGAGGAGGCTCAGGGGACGAATGTATCATGGGATCTGCTGTGGCAGAGAGGGAACAGTGATTGAAAAGTAGGCAAAATTTTAGGAACGTCTGTGGTTGATTAATGACGTTATTTGTGTCAGTGCTAAACTCTGTTTTTGAAAGCCATACAGTGCTCACGTCATGTGTTAACAGTAAGGAAAGCTGGTTGAAGGGCACGAATGAATTCTCTGAACTCTTTTTTTGCAACTTTAGAATTAATTGTTAATTATGATTATTTAACAGACATAGCCTGACGTGGCCTATGTCGGCCTCAAACTTACTATGTAGCTGACAACGATCTTCAGATGGTGCCCTGCCTCTGCCTCCTAAGAACTAGAATTATAGACAGGCACCACCAAGCCTGGCCACATTTTTTCTTTTTGAAAACTTCTGAGAATCTAAAATTATTTAAAAAAAATAATAAAAATTTGCCAGGCATGGTGGCAAAGGATTGTGATCCCAGCACTGGGAAGTAAGAAACAGACGCAGCAACTACAAATTTGAGGTCAACCTGGGCTACCTGGGGACACTTCGTCTCAAAACAACAACCACAAAACAACAAGACGAAACAGAGGAAGAGAAACAAACAAACAAACAAAAAACCCAAAATCCAAACCAAACCAAACCAAAAAAAAAAAAAAAAAAAAAAAAGCAACAGAACCAAATTAAAACCAAAATTCGCCCTCTATTTCCGATCAGCTGTTTGTAAAGGAGCGAGCAGGACGGTGGGAAGCCTTGAGCCAGTTCTGAGAAGCCTACATCTATCTCCCTGCTGCCCTGCCCCCAGCACCCTAACAGGCACAGCTCAAAGCTGCTTTCTCCACAAACCTCCAGACTGGCCCTGCCCCCTTTTATCGTAATTACCCCTGCCAAGTTTTCCCTGCAGCCTCCGCAGCCAGTCTGCTGCATAGTGGAGAGGGTTTGTGTAGCCTCCTCCCCAAGGCAAGGCTACTTGCAAGTACCTGCAGGTAAGGATGGAGGTGAAGTCACACTGGATTGGGGGGGGGGCACTAGATCCGATAAGCACAACCATATGAGACAGAAAAAGATGAACAGTTATGCTGTCAGGAGACAAAGGGAGAGTTTGGAGTTTCATTGCCCCAAACCCAGGGACACCAGGAGACACCAGGAGCTGGTTGGCGGTCAGGAAGGATCCTTCCCTAGGGTCTTCAGACGGAGCCTAGCCCTTCCTTCTTCTCTGGGGGCATCTGGCTTCCAGAAGTGGGGTATAGGCTTGTGTTTTGGAAGCTGGTGAGTCTGTGATGGCTTGGGGGCGGGCAGCCCTGAGAAGCAGGGGGGACTGTTCGTGGTTTTCTCAGGCTCCTATCTTATGCAACTCTGAAGGCCTTCTCTTTTGCTTTCATGCCAAAGACTTCCAATATCCGCCAGTATCTCTTTCACTAGACTGTGGGTTTCTAGGACAAGCCTGTGTCTCTCTCTTCTCAGCCCTGTCTCCTCTTAGCTGAGGGTGGAATCCCTTAGCTCCACCCAGGCCTCAGCACACAATGAGGCTGTGTGGGGGCTGCCTGGCCAGACCTTTCACCTGTTTGGGTTGGCATGGGTCTCCCCACCACAGGGAGGCGTAGGAGACTCCCTAAACATGGAGCGATAGCTGCCCAGGGCCCTCCTCCTTTCTCCCTGTTCCTGGGTAGGTTAGAGTGAGGGGCAGATATGGTGCTCATGCTTAAAGGAGGTAGGGGTATCCCAGCAGACAGAGATGCCTACTTAAATGCCCATCCCAACCCATTAACCTTTGCTGCCTCAGAGACTTCGTGGCTTGAAAATGCCACCATCAACACCAAGGGGATAGGAGTGTGGCTGTCTTGTTCCTATTTCCCAGCTGGCTGGGCCTTTGGCAGCTCTTTGGCCGTAGAGTCTGTGAATGTTGGCCTTGGTGTATTCCACCTGGGGCTCCAGAGTCTAGGGTGGGGAAGGCTGGTGAAAGTCTCCTCTTAGACTGTGTGTTTATCTGATGTTCATTTCCTACCGTCTTTATCATGTTCCCCTTGGAGAAGATGGAGGAGCTGGAAGAAGGGTAAGCAGGAGGATTAGGGGAGGAGGGAGAGCAGAGAGAGGAGAGACTGGAGGAGTAGAGGGCTAGGGGAAGAGGAGGAGGGGGCAGGTAGGGTGATGGAGGAGGAACACTAGGAAGGAGGCTCCTTGGAGTCCCAGTGACTGGCAGGGGAAGCAGAACTTTAGACCACTAAAGAAGCTGGAGTTGGGCTCTGCACCCCGCTTCTGTCTGTGGATCTCCATGTATGCTGTCTTTTACTTCAGGAAGGAGAAACCCCTCCCCATTTCCCCACCCAGTAGCAACACAGTTTCCAACGGAAGTCTGTCCCTGGTCTCAGATCCCCTCTGCCTTGTGTTGGGGAAATTGCAGGGCTGTGCCAGGGTTGGGGAGAGTGTTTTCTGGAAGGAGATTAGAAGTGTCTGTCAGGGGTGGGTGGGGCCGGGTGGGGCCCCAGGTTACTCATATCCTTGCTAGTCCTTAGAGAGGCAGATTTTGGGGGAGCCCTCAGCCTCAAACGTCCATCTTAGCATTGTTTCCTGAGCCCTTATACCCTGTTGTGGGGAAGGGTGTTGACTTTTGCTTTGGTGGCAGGGCAGGGTCAGGTGCGGTTGGCTGTCTAAGGAGCTACTTCCCTTCTGGGAGCAGTTGATGATACCAAGAACAGTGCGGGAGCCTCAGCAGGGGCTGTTGGGGCCTGTCTGGGAAGATAGGACATGCCAGGCAGTCCCAGACACGAACACATTCCTCCCAACATGCCTGCTGGGGTCCATGGAGCTGAGGGGCTGATGGGAGGGTGTGTGTGGGCAGGAAGTAGATGTTTTGGGGGGAGTTTGGCTGAAGTGAGACATACAAATCTCCGAAGCAGAATTAACTGGGCTCTTGGAGCTGTCCCCTGGCCCCAGGGACTCAGGAGTCCGGGACCTTCACGTCCATGTTGGCTATGGCCTTGGCTCAGTCCTGCTTCACTTCCAGGTGCTTGCATTCCTCCCTGATACAGATCTTGGGTGAACTCCATGGGGGATCAAGTGAGAGTGTTTTGAGTCAGCCCTCTGCCTCCCACCTCAGCTGTCCTGGTATCTGAAGGGACTTCTGGGGCTGGAAACAAACAAACAACAAACAAATAAGAGCCCTCTAGGGTTGGTACAGACATGTGGCCTCACCAGCTTTAAGCCCAAAATAAGCTCTGACCCTCCAGCCAGACTCCATGCCACAAAACCCTTCATCATCATTGTCCCATTGTACCCTCAGGGCTGTCTGTAGTAGAAACAATGGCTGGGTGCCCTTTGCTCCCACTTTTCAGAAGAGCAAACTGGGGCTCTGAGAAGAGTCCTGTCCTGGGTTGAACCTGACTCTGTGCTCTTTCCCAGTGTCTCTGGCTGTGGCCACTAGACCTTTGGTGATTTAACAGCTAACATCACAGGTCTGTGTGTAGGTGTGTGGTAAGGTACAAACCCTGTGTGTAGGGTCTGTACCTGGGTCTGAGAGGAACTACCTGGAGTCTGAGCCACCTGGCAGGCTGAGGATGTGACGGCCTGCCAGTCCTTAGCAGGTAGTGCCAAGGGTGGTCGTGGTGGTGTACCTCCAGCTAGATGCTGTGGTGGGCTTCCTCTACATGTAACAAAGGAGAAAGGATCCCCCCCCCCCTTATTTAATGGGAACTAACAGGCCAGCAAATTTATGGTGCGATAAGGCCCTAACTCCGTCCAGGAGCTCAGAGTGCGGGTTCCTGAGGGCTGTGTCTCCCAGAGCCTCATGGGAAAGTGTAGCCTGCAGGCCTAACCTCCCCACCCCCCCACGATGAATCATGCCTGGCGGGACGAGAAAGCCCCAAACACTTCAAACAATGAGTTTCCAGTAAAATATGACAGACATGATGAGGCGGAGGAGAGGAGGGATCTGATCAGGAGTTGGCGCTGGCCTGTGAGTGATGAAAGCCAAGGGGAATGGAAAACGCCAGGCCCGCCCCCTCCTCATGACTATAAAACACTATCATTCTTTTCTAACTTACCTGAGCAGCTCTCTCTTCTCTCTGCCGACTCACTCGCTCACTTGCTCACCTCTCTCAAGACCATGGCCACCTGCAGCCGCCAGTTCACCTCCTCTAGCTCCATGAAGGGCTCCTGTGGCATCGGTGGCGGCTCTAGCCGCATCTCCTCCGTCCTGACTGGAGGATCCTGCCGGGCTCCCAGCACCTATGGGGGCATGTCAGTCACCTCCTCTCGATTCTCCTCTGGGGGAGCCTGTGGCATTGGGGGCGGCTATGGTGGGGGCTTCAGCAGCAGCAGCAGCAGCTTTGGGGCAGGCCTCGGTGCTGGTTTTGGTGGTGGTTTTGGTGGTGGATATATGGGTGGCTTCGGTGCTACTTTGGGTGCTGGCGTCGGTGAGGGGCTCCTGGCGGGCAGCGAGAAAGTGACCATGCAGAACCTCAATGACCGGCTGGCCACCTACCTGGACAAGGTGCGTGCCCTGGAGGAGGCCAACACTGACCTGGAGGTGAAGATCCGGGACTGGTACCAGAGACAGCGGCCTGCTGAGATCAAAGACTACAGCCCCTACTTCAAGACCATTGAGGAACTGAAGAGCAAGGTGGGCCAACTGCAGAAAGTTTCCTCCAGTGCTTCAGATAGAGAGGGCAGCTTCCAGTCCCAGACTTTTCTATCTGGGGTCCTGAACATTCCCAATAGGGCTGGTCAGTGAGAAGATGGTGTCCTTTCCTGGCTGTTCCCCCATGCTTTTCTGAGCTCCTTAGCCTACATGAGACCGATGGTTCCTGCCCTTAACATTTTGCAGAGGAGGAAGTTGAAGCTTTGCTAGGTGCAGAATTGAGACCGGAGTGTCCACCTTTCACTACAGGAGCCAGTTACCCCTCCACCAGGAGGGAGGAGGGAAGAAGGAGGAGGGAGGCTGTAACGGGACCCACCACGCTAGACACTGAAACCGCTCATTAGCTTGTAAGTCTGGGCTGAGGCTGCTGCCGCCCATGAGCTCTGACACTATATTGCCTCTCTATAGCCAGGCAGATGTGGAAAACCCACACCCACAGCTAATCATGGCCTGTATACTTACCCCAAACCAGAGGGAGCCTGGTGGGGTTGTGCATCTGGAACCCTTCTTTCCCCCTCCCCTTAAACCTGCTTGGCTCTTGCGCCTTGCGTAAGTTATGGAAATGAGACAAGTTCCTGGCAGGCACTCCAGCTGGGTTCAGGAATCCATCTGTCTTCTTTTCTTCTCCGGTTTCCTCTTTTCTAATCTCCTGGGCAAGTTGGGTTCCGTCTCTTGGGAAAGTCCCACCTGAGGTCCATGCCCCATGGGCTTAGAAAGGAATGTTCGAGTCTGCAGAGGGCTGAATAGGGCTTTCCTGCACCCAGAGGAGGGTCCAGGAGGTGAAGAGTATGCAGGGAGACTTAGGGGGGCTTTGAAACCACATCTTAGGTTTTACAGGTGAGTGGTAGCGATGAGACCTGAATTTTAGGGCTTTTGAGCCTGGGGCCAGACCTATTTGCAGCTTTTCTATTGACCAGGAGTCCAAGTCCTTCCTGGGTTGAAACTGAGCACGTGGGGTTGTTCTTTCAGGCTGCTATGGTGGACAAAGGCTCATAGGATGAGAAGAACAGGGCTCAAGCAAGAGCAAGAGAGAAAGGCTAGTGAAGGCCACAGTGACATCTTCCCTATCTGTTTAACCAATCACCCATGGCGTTTCCATTCTACAGATCCTGGCAGCCACAGTGGACAATGCCAACGTCCTCCTGCAGATTGACAATGCCCGTCTGGCTGCTGATGACTTCCGCACCAAGTGAGCTCGCAGTGTGGTGGCTCAGAGCTTCCAGTGTGTGTAGGGTGGGGCGTTTTGGATCAGTGCTTTCCAACCAGAGCTGGTTTGTGTTGGGAGAAGCCCCTGGGGTGCTTGTAAAAAGACGAGACTGTTGGGCTCCACCCTTGGAGCTGGGCTCAGTTATTTGTAACCGTTTCCCTAGGAGATTCTGATCCACAGCCAGGTGTGGAAGCCATCACTTTAGGGAAAGGTGTTTTCTGCTTCTCCCACCCGTCCCTACAGCGCAGTCGTATTTGGAGGCTTTGAGCCTTAGTGGCTGACTGAAGCTGAAAAGATGCATGCTTAAGGATGAATTTCCCTCTTCCCTGGACCCCAGGAATGTTCAGGCCTAAGCAATCAATGGGCACCGTGTTTAATATTGACTCTCCACAACATACCTGGGTGCCAGCTCTGAGAATAATGTGCAAAGGAAGAGAACAAAGCTGTCAGTGTGGCTGGGATGGATAGCTCATTCCTTTCATCTTGAATCATTTCAGGTACGAGACGGAGCTGAACATGCGCATGAGCGTGGAGGCCGACATCAACGGCCTGCGCCGGGTGCTGGATGAGCTGACCCTGGCCAGAGCCGACCTGGAGATGCAGATCGAGAGCCTCAAGGAGGAGCTGGCCTACCTGAAGAAGAACCACGAGGAGGTGAGAGATAAATGGAAAAGCTGTGGATGGAGAAAAGCAATGGAATGGCAGACGGTGGGAAGGCAGTGTTCAGCCATGATCACCTCTGCTAGAAAACCCTGCCAGCCATGAGGCTCTTGACTATGAGACCTTTCCCTGCCTTTTCAGGAGATGGCCTCCATGAGAGGCCAGGTGGGCGGGGACGTCAATGTGGAGATGGACGCGGCACCCGGTGTGGACCTGAGCCGCATCCTGAACGAGATGCGCGATCAGTATGAGAAGATAGCCGAGAAGAACCGCAAGGAGGCCGAGGAGTGGTTCTTCAGCAAGGTGGGTGTCATTAGGAGAGGGAAGGGGTGCAGACCACCTGCTCTCCAGGGCTTTCCAGTGTGAACGGCGCTCACTTTACCACAGACCGAGGAGCTGAACCGCGAGGTGGCCACCAACAGTGAGCTGGTGCAGAGTGGCAAGAGCGAGATCTCCGAGCTCCGACGCACCATGCAGAACCTGGAGATCGAGCTGCAGTCCCAGCTGAGCATGGTAGGGGTGCTGCTGCCGTGCACACGGGGGTGGGCCCTTGAACTCACTGAAGGGGCAGGGCCTTTCTCAGCCATCCACGACCCCGTTTCCCTCCTTCACAGAAAGCATCCCTGGAGAACAACCTGGAGGAGACCAAAGGCCGCTACTGCATGCAGCTGGCCCAGATCCAGGAGATGATTGGCAGCGTGGAGGAGCAGCTGGCTCAGCTGCGCTGTGAGATGGAGCAGCAGAATCAGGAGTACAAGATCCTGCTGGACGTGAAGACCCGGCTGGAGCAGGAGATTGCCACCTACCGCCGCCTGCTGGAGGGCGAGGACGCCCAGTGAGTGCCTGCCCACCCTCTAGCCCATGCCTCTTCTCTTCACAAATGTTCCCCATGGGTCTAATGGTCCTGCCCTTGTCTTTCTTTGCAGCCTCTCATCCGCCCAGTTCTCCTCATCCTCTCAGTTCTCCTCCGGCTCCCAGTCATCCAGAGATGGTAAGATTCTCTTCTGCCTAGAGCCTGAGCTTGGGAATACCTTCAGATCTCCTAGCAGATCTAGGACCTAGATTAGAACCTTCTTGGGGGTTAAGCGAAGTGTTCTTACTCAATATCCCCTGTGAGTCTCTTCAGATAGAATCATTTTCTAACTTCCCTCAGGCCTAGAACTGGTGGACCTTAATCTTGCTCCTTCAAAGGACGCCTGGTGCTAGAAATCAGCACCACGGACAGCGCCCCACTAATCCATTTGGGTTTAATTGGACCTTCTAGGGCCTTTGGGTATATAGTTGGACAGCACTGGTTGAGTTCTCCAGTCTGAGGGGGCGGACCCTTCATGAACACACGGTGCCCTGGCAGCAGTGAGTGAGGTGGCAATCAGAACAGAGGGCATCAGGAGACAGTTTACTTCTCAGCTTCTTGGCTTCTCTCCACTTCAGAGCACTCCACCTGCCCACCTCACTAACGCCCTCTCATTTTCCCTAGTGACCTCCACCAACCGCCAAATCCGCACCAAGGTCATGGATGTGCACGATGGCAAGGTGGTCTCCACCCACGAGCAGGTCCTGCGCACTAAGAACTAAGGCTGCTACGCACTGCGCAGGCCTAGGAGGCTCCTGTGTGGGCACAGTCACTGCTGGAAGAGTCCCCTATTGTCCCTAGACGTTTCGCCCTTTGCCTGACCCTTGTCCCTCCTGGAGAGCAATAAAGCTTCTTTTTCTGCGTTGCACAACCACCATCTCCCTGGTCATTGTCAGGAGTTGGGGAGGGAGGATGTGGGGGGTGTTACTTTGGAGCTCAGAGAGCACCTGGGACTGGGAGAAAGGGCCCCGGGGGCGGGCTTGGCTCCCATCCCAGGTTGGCTCTCACCACCTCAGAAGATCTAGACTGCTGTGTGTACCAGGTCATGGGATCTCTTAGGGCAGAGGCGTATTTCCTCATTCACTCATCTGTCCACACATTCACCAGAGATGGAGTGCCTTTAGGTGCCAGGCAGTGTGCTAGGGGAAGAATTATTTAAAATAAAAATAAAATTTTATTATTATTATCATCTTTATCATTATTATTATTATCATCATTATCACTATTATTATTATTATTATCGTGTGTGGGTGCAGGTGTGTATTTGTCACAATGTGTATGTGGAGGTCAGAGGAAAACTTTGGAGAGTTGGTTCTCTTCTTCCACTGGGGTTGTGGGGATTGAACTCAGGCTGTCAGGTCTGAGTAGAGCTTCTCAGTGGCCTCAGGTTAAGGATTTCTAATGATTTTGGGATTTTTGTGGAACTCAGACATTTTTCTCCATATATCCTGTCTCCAGAGAAGTAGACGTCTTTGTGTGTCATGTTATGGGGTTCACCGGTCCCCCAAAACTCTGTGAGCCTAAGGCTCACGCATGCTTTGTTGGTGGTCATCGCTCCCTGATCTGGGACTATAGGACTGAGTGTATCCTTAGTTTAGACCAGTGGTTCTAATGAAGGTTAGTGGTTCTAACCTTCCTAATGCTGCGATTCCTTAACACGTTTCCTCATGTTGTGGTGACCCCAGCCATAAAGTTATTTTTGTTGCTATTTCATAACGGTAATTTTGCTGCTGCTATGGATCATGAGAACACCTGTGTTTTCTGGTGGTCTTAGGTGCGAGCCTGTGAAAGGGATGTTTGACTCTCAAAGGGGCCACGAGTGCCACTTTAAGAATCACTGATTTAGAGGATGTTTGTGACCCTTTCCAAGCCTCAGTTTCCATATCTGTAAAATGGGAATGATGATGGTCCCGTCTCCTGGTCTTGGGGGCGTTGACTGGAAGCACAGAGCCTGGACTATGCAGGCTCAAGGCATGGCTGTGTTAGCAATGCTGGGTGCCATCCACGACAAGGGCATCATCTCTAGAGGCTTCCAGAATAGGCTAACTGGTTTCGGACCAGTTGGCCCTGCTCTGTATCAGTGACCTTGGAGAGCCTGGCTCTCAGTCTCCTCATGTATACAGTAAAGATGACGTACCCTGTGTCTTCTGGTTGGTGTATAAATCGAATGAGTAAGCACACCTTAAGAGCCAGGCTGACCTCTGAGCCTGGTGGGTCACACATGTCACCCAGCACTCGGGAGGTGGACGAAGGAGGACTGCTGTGAGTTTAAGGACAGACTGGGCTCAGCAGTGAGGGCGTTAAGGGCCTCCCCTTGGTGGAGGAGTGACTTTTGTCTTGGGACTGAGTAAAGAATAGGAAGGGGAGGAGCATTATCTGGGTGCATGGCAGAGATGCCAGGGGTGCGGAGGGCTCACTGCCCCTCCCCCCCTCTAGGAAAGAGTTGATGAGCTCTGTATTGGCTCCAATAGCTTGTTCATTTGGCTGGGTGACGGAAACTTATAGGTAGAGTTGAACGTGGGGTTGGAATGAAGACAGACAGTTTGGATGAAGGGGCTAAAACCTTGGACCTGACAATTCTGTGCTTGAGTCCTGGGTTTCCACCTCCACCAGCCCTGGAGAATTGGGGCAGGACACTGAACTCACGTTCCTCTTTCACAAGGTGAAGAATAAATGCCATCACCACACAGGGCTGATGGGTTAAATGATCTCATGGAGCCAGTGAGCCTAACCTCAAGCTTGGTGTCTAGTGCTCTGTGGTGGCTCAAGATGAAATGTTTTTAGTAAACTGAATGAATGGTTGCTGGTGTTCCTTGTCCCTACATAGAATATAGACATGATTTGCACTGTAGGGGTGGACAGAGGGCAAAACACAGCTACACTAGTGGAGATGGAAGCCCAGGATCTATGGATTGCTTGCATATCTCCAGTCGTCACCTTACCTGTGATATCTGAGTTTCTCCCCAAAGGACCCTGCTTTAGAAGAATACGGGCGTATGGCTCTAGTGTGGTGGTAGGGGAACATCCCCTGTCCTTGCTTGGATGGCTGCCACCGCTGTTTGGAAGGAATACAGGGAAAAGGCAGTCGCTTGAGGCCATTTGGATCTAAGGAAGCTCAGAATCAGGGATTAGGGGAAAGTTAAGCAATGATCCTGGATTTCAGGGACCGCAGGAACAAAGGGCAGACATCGCCGCAGTTCTGGGGTCTCATAGGACACCCTCCTCCCCTGATTTTCACCACCACATTCAGTGGGAAGGGTAGGGCCAACAACTGATTTCTACCGATGACCAGTTTCTCTTAGTCACAGGGCTAAAAGGCTACAGCGCCCGCTCAAGACCTGTGCTCTGCCCCCACCCCACCCTTAGAACAGACCAGAAAAGTGACTCAATAGCACCGCCTAGTGGAAGCAAGAGAGGTTGCCTTTCAGAGCCCTGGGGCTGGGCAGTTGAGGGCTGTGTTTCCACACCCCGCTGAATGAAATTTGGGAGGAGTTACTTTTCTCCACCCACTCCGCAGAACGCAGAACCGGGCTGTGCTAGGTGGATGGAGATCATGTCTCCGGATCTCCTCGTCTAAGGGAGGCAGGCTATCCTGCCCCAAGTCATACAGTTTGAGCCTTGCTACACCCAGCCTTCAGGTTCTTGAGGGAGGGTCTATGTGTCCTCCACAACACCCACGTGACACAGGCTCCCGATCTTAAGGGGGACCCAGTACACTAGAAGGATGAGCTGGTAATAAGCGGGGTAATTGACACCCAGCCATCCAGATGGTCCGGAAGGAAGGGCAGAAGCAGGCCTCCTGTCGCTGAGACGCAGGATAACGTCTTACGGTGTGCGTGTGCTCGCGTGCGCGTGCGCGCATGTGTGGTTTGTGTTCACGTATGTGAAGGTACACTTGCATGTGCATACACGTGTAGGCCAGAGGTCAAGGTTAGGCTTTTCCCTCTATGGCTCTCCGCTTACGTTAAAAAACTCCTTCCAGCCTCAGGCATGTGGCTGGGCTGGCTAGGAGTCCTCCTGCCTCTGCTTCCCCAGCAGTGGAGATGCAGATATCCGTGGCTAGACCTGGCTTTTGGCGTTGGGTCTGAATGCAGTTCTCATGCTTGCGGGGCAGATGCTTTACCGACTGGGGCTTGTTCATCGTTTTTTTTATCCTCAACTCAGAACAATGTGTGGAACACAGTACATGCTGAAGAAAAGACACACCCAAAACTTACCATGGGGAGGCTGGTTGGGGGTGAGGGAAAGCAATATTCCTTAAATAGATGGAAGACTCTGGTTGGATGGCTCAGGGAGTCTTGGTTTGGTGGGGTCTGGCTAGGTGGGGTGATGGTAGGTGACAAAAAAGTTGAAATACGCACCTGGGTACCTCTAGCCGTGCACCAACCAGAAGTGCCCACGTGCAGAGGTGGTTCATGAAGGGGTGGGCCCACGAGCCAGGAGAGGAGCTGTGAGTCATGTTTGTGTTCCCTCAGCCAGCACCCAGCCTCATGATGACTCAGGGCCTTCTGGCCCCTCCTGAGCTTAAGGACACACAGTGTTGGGGAGACAGTGGGGCCACGAGGCTTGGGTAGCTGAATCCAGGCAGGCAGGAGGCTTCTACAGCCAGAGCCAAACTGGCCTTGTCTCCTCTTGAGTCCCCACACCCTTAAGAGGAACCTTTCCCCCTGACACCTTGAAGGTAGAACTCATTCAGGGTTCCCCTCTTTGTCTCTCTGGTCCTTGAAGCCCCTCTATTCCACTCTATCTATACGATGAGGACTGGGACCTTTCTTAGGAGACTAGTGTGGGGTCCAACTGACTGAAGGGATGGGTAATAATAAGCAAGAGGGCTGAATCCGGGCCATCCAGGTGGTCCAAGTGCAAGGAAAAAAAAGCATACTCAGTGCCATTCGTAGTCAGGAGAGTGTCCCAAGATGTGTTAGAATTTTCCAGTACTAGCTGCAGTCTGGACACAGGCTATAGAAACAGAATATATATATACACCCGAGGCAGGGTATTCTGAGTTACATGAGATCTATTCTTCCTTCATTGTCGGGAGGAATGGGAAGTAAGGCTCACAGGGAAGGCCCTGAGAGAGTAAAAGAATGAGCCATGCCACACAGCCAGGACGAGAGCTCTCATTCAGTTCCGGATGGCCGGCTTCCTCATCTCTGGCGCTGCCTTTCCCATGCCAGGCAGAGCTGGAAGAAGGGAGAAGATGATGCCAAGCTGTGATAGCCCAGCATGGTGGGCTCCTCTTTGGGTTGGAAGTAGATCCAGACATGGAGAGGGGAAGAAGAACAGGGAGGAGAAAGGATGGGAAGGAAGGTGGATGCGGGGAGAAGGGTGGATGGGGAGGAGAGCAGGCAAATAGGAAGGAGAGTGGACAGCGGGAGGAGGGCAGATATGGAGGAGGCGGGGGAGGAAGGAGAGTGGATAAGGGGAGGAGGGGGGAGGGGAGAGGACACACACACACAGACAGCTGTGCTTTCATACCGGGATCCCCCACCTTGCGCTGTATTTGTGTTTCTGGCAACTCCGCATGCAAAGACAGCCCATGGGGAAACTGAGGTCAAGGTCACAAGGATAGGGAAAGAGAGACTGATGGTGGCCCAGCCTTGCCTCACTGGCAAGCTACTCTCCACTGCACTGTCCCAGGAGGCTCAGTGGAGGGGACTCCCCCTCAGGGGTAGAGGCCCTGGAGCCATACACAGAGATGAACTAGATGCAAGGGAAAGGCCTGTGCCTGCTCTGAACTCAGAGTTGGGGGGATGCT